GAACTCTAGGAGCAATAATATGGTTCAAACCTACATCTATCCAGCATTGAGCAGTCATCAGACACTTAAAAAAGACATGTCAATAATCTTCCTCATTACTACCTTCACACAATTGGAAATTATTTGGGAACTAGACAAAGTGTTGATGAAGTTTAATACACGTGGGAGGCACCCACAACAAATTCTCCAAAGCAAGTGTTTAGCTCTTGAAAGAGCTATAATCTTCCACAAACTACCCTAGTCATCGTCCACTCGATGGTTAGGAGAAGTGATTAGGTCTTTCTTCAACAATTTATACCCATATTTCACATTTAATTACCATGATTATCTTCTTTCCACATCAAGCAATCCTCCTTCACATCCTCCAACAACGACGCCTTCATGATTTCCATCTTTACATCATGCGTAAGCAATTGTCTAATTTTCTGAATATCTCATTGTTTAGCATTGGGCACCATGAAATCATTAAGGGTAATGTTGTACACACGTTGGCCTTGTGGAGCATAAAGTCGTCCTTCTGTGACTCCTTTCAACCATGGGTCCTTCATAACATTAATTTTTGTATCATCGCCAATACTCCATCGACACCTAAGAGACAACACTTCCTTGGCTTTTAACAAACTTTTCCACACAAAACTTAGGTTCTTACCAATATTAGCCTGACCTAAGAAGAACAAGGGAAATACCTGGCTTTAAATATTCTAGCCACCAAAGAGTTCGAATTTGTCATAATATGTCAACCTTGTTTCACCACCATTTCCCTATTAAAAGCTTTGAAATCTCTAAATTCAAGCCCACCATCCTCCTTGGTATAAGTTAATCTATCCCAAGCAATCCACCTTATTCCTTTATTCTGATTTCCACCCCCACTAAAAAAAGTTAAGATTCTCTCAATATCATTAACAACATTATCAGGAATGACAAAAACACTCATAATATATGATGGGATTGCTTGAAGCACTGATTTAATCATGATTTCTTTTACTAATTTAGAGAAAGATCTTCCTCTCTAAGAATTAATTCTCGTCCATATTTGATCCTTAATAAACGCACAAATGTTTTTCTTACTTCTACCAATCATCGATGGTAACCTCAAATACTTTCTGGACCTAAAACATGGCGAACTCCCATAAGGCCAGCAAGATCTTCTTTGGCTAGATCACTAATATTCCGACTAAAAAGCATTTCAGACTTCAACATATTAATTTCCTGACCCTATGTAGCTGCATACTGCTGAAGTATAACCATAAGATGGTTCACTTTAGAAAGATTGGCCATGCAAAACAAAAATCAATCGTCAGCAAAAAGTGGATGGGACACCTTAGGTGCTCCTCTACATATCTGGACTCCATGAATATCTCATTTTGCTACCGCTTTATTTATGAGAGCGGAAAGACCTTCAACTACCATGATGAAAAGATATGGAGATGACATATCTCCTTGTCTTAAGCCCCACCCAGGATGTATTCGTCCAACTCTTTCCATATTAACCAACATTGAGTAGTTAACCGACGTAACACACATCATCACCCAATGTATCCATCTAGCAGCAAATCGCAACCGACTTAGCACCCTTCTCAGAAAACCCCAATCCACTCTATCTTAAGTTTTGCTAGTGTCTATCTTAAGAGTTAATTCTCCTTTGGTTCCCCTGTCCGTCTCTTCAAGGCATAAACCTATCATAGCATTGTTAAGAATGGACCGACCTTCTACAAACGTCGACTGCTCCTCTGACACACACTTAGCCATACACTTTTTCATTCTATTGGCCAAGAGTTTCGAAACCATTTTGTATAACACATTACACAAAGAAATCGGTCGCAACTCCTTCATATTTTTTAGATTCTCACACTTAGGAATGAGGCAAATATTTGTATCATGCAGAGCATGAAGAAAGAATCCCCGCTCCAACCATCTAGACACATCCTCAAATATATCATCTCTATACATCCCCCAAAAATTCTAGTAGAACGCCAAATTAAAATCGTCTGAATCCAAAGATTTATCTGGATGCATGTGCATGAGAGCTTCAAACAGTTCCTCCTTGGATACGCTGTCGGAAGTTGTCTAAGACCAGTTCATAGAAGTTGTTCATTAGCCAATTTTGGCTTAATTGCAATTTTAGTCCTTTTATTTTATCTTTTTTTGGATTTTGATCCCTCCATTTTAAAAATCACGACTTTGGTCCCTTTTTTAAGTTTTGTGATGGATTTTAGTTCCCTCCCCAATTTGGAACTTATTTTTAATGACGTGGCGCTCAGTTTGCTGACGTGTCAATATCATGTCATTTTCATTAATTATAATTATGCCACATCATATATATTTATTTTTAATTTTAATAATAATATTATTACAATGAATAATTTTAATTTCATTACTTAAATTTTCTGAATTATCATGAATAAAATTGAATTAAATTACTAAGAATTAAGTGGAAACATGAGAATTACCATAATATTATTAACATTTTGAATTAAAAGTGAATTAGCATGAATTAAAATTGAATTAAATTACCATAATATCATTAACATTTTGAATTAAATTGAATTAACTTACCATAATATCATTAGTGTGAATTAAGTTAAAAGTTATAATGAATTTAAAGTAACTTTAATATCATTAACATTTATAATAATTACAATAACATACTAATTTAATAACAATTTATCATAAAAAATATATTCTTCTCCAAAACGTTCTTTCCCCCAAAACAAATTCTTCCCCAAAAAAATTCTAACGGATTGTGATCTGTTCTCCCTCCCCTATCACAATGGCTTCCATTCTCTTTCAACAAAAAAAAATTCATTTGGACTCATTGATGTAACTCACTGCATATCATGAGAGATTCATACATACTTCAAGTTTTAAAACCCAATTTTTATCCAGAGCTTGTATCAAGCCGTACAACAACCGTTATCGTTGCAGTGAATCTCTCTCGGTCGTGAATCTTTTGTCTAACATCAAATGAAGTGACAATTTATTGTTGCAATGGTTGTTGTTAGATCCAAAACCAGATAGAGAGGAGCAATGGTTTTCTATTTTAAGAAAGAACATAAATCTAAAGAAATGTTTTGAAGTAGAGACAAGAACAACATGTTTTTTCGTCTTGGGGAAGAACATACATTTGAAGCGATCATGTTGTTGTTATTGGGTATTGTATGAATTTGTGATGAAATTCATTGTTGTTACTGGTTTTCTGTTATGAATTTGTTGATGTTGATTTTTTTACTAATTTTTGATATTCTGAATTTGTGATTTTGTTGTTATGGTCTATAGTTTTTAAACTATTTTGACGGAGAAATGATGATGCATTTGTTACTGAGTTTTTAAGGAATGAATTATGTTTTTGGGTTATTGGTCATGTTTCTACTTAATTCTTAATAATTTAATTCAACCTGATAGTTTAAAATTAATTTTATTTATTTTATTAAATTATTTATTGTAATGTAATTCAATTTAATTAATTTTTAAAAATTTAAAATAATAATACTATTGTTAAAATTAAAAATAAAAATATATGATTTGGCATAATTATTATTAATAAAAAATGTCATGTCATTGACACGTCAACAAACTGAGCGCCACATCATTAAAAATAAGTTTCAAGTTAAGGAGGGAGACTAAAATTCATCACAAAACTTAAAAAAGGACTAAAAGCATGGTTTTTAAAATGGGAGGATCAAAGTCTAAAAAAAGACAAAATAGGGGGACTAATGTTGCAATTAAGCTGCCAATTTTATATATGGTAGATTATAGAAAGTAAATTCCAAAACAAGAAATAAAACAATTTTGTTAATATATTGATATCTTTGCAACGAAAAAAGATTTAAACATTCAATAAAAAACATTCACTTAATTGATGTGATCAATTATGTGATATTGATATCTAAAATATAATATTAATAGTTAAATTTTGATATAGTCCAAATCCCACCAACAATTAATAAAATTTAAATTGAATTGAAAGTTTAAACAATCAACTTTTATTTTTAAATTTTGGCTAAAAACCAGATTCTAACATGATCCAAAATAAAATATGGATAAATGACCAAATCACCCAACACATTTTTTTAAAATTCTCAACTTAACCAAGAAAACCCCACTGAATACACATCAAACTGAAGAACTTCTTAAGGTATCTTTCTTTATCATAAAGGAAACTTTCAATTTCTTTGAGAAAAAAGAGAACCTTGATCTGATATTAGAAATAGAGCAAAAATGCTATATATAAAAAATAGACCACAAATATAAAACATTAGAGAATAGAGATAACTTGACAAGTGAACTTAAAAAAGACAGCCTTTATCTCTTGACAACTAGGTCTATGATCATTGCTAGATGGAGAAAAAGATTACAAGGAATCCATGAAATTAAGGATACAGCCCAAGGGCAAAACCCCTATTTTCAAGCAAGCATAAGCATGATCCCAAATAACAAATCATGGTGCAAACAACAGCTAACTCAAGCAGCAAAGTGTTCACTCAAACTCTATTTTAAGAGAATCAGCAGGGGAAAAGTTTAACTGAGTGATTTGTGTATCATAGTGCAAGTTGAGAGAAGCATCTCAAAAACATACATTATTGAAAGAATTCTCACAAATCGCATGTGACTAGCATGATCCTATAATTATATAAACAAATCAAAAACTAAGATCATGGATGGGAATAAGGCATCATTCTACTTTCCCCCAATTGTGTCCAATCAATTGCCACAACCAGCTGGTGCCAACCAGAAAATGCATAAGCCAAAGTATTCTCTCCTGCAACAGCAACCTTTTCACAGCCTTCAGTGACCAACAACAAGCAAAGCACAGCTTCTATTGATTTTGAATTTGAATTTCAATCAAAGCAGAAAGAGTTTCCACAGAGATGTGAAAACTGAACATGCTTCTGTAATTGCTAATTACAAGTTATTTACAATATGAATCTGAGAATCACTTAACCAAATTGGAAAAAATGTAATTTTTTTGCAAAATTGCCATGTTAATTGCTATTACATAATCAATCTTCCAACTCCAAAGTTCTCCTACGTCTGCGCGAATTTCTATTGAACATTGAATTCACTAAGCTACGGCTTCTACTCACAGAAACATTCTCAGAACCAGAATTTGACCTAGAACCGATTCTCCCAAAGAATGAGAAGAAATTACGAAAAGCTCTTCCAATTCCTCGACTTTCCCTAACCCTATGACTCCTAACTGTTCTAGAAATTCTTCTTGGAGCACCGTTTGCATTGAGCCCGCCATCCATCTCAGTGTACACAACCGGAAAATGACTCTCCCCTGCACTCCGTCCACCGGAGAATCTCCCCACAGCAAATCCACCACCCGGTAACCTCCATATTGTTAATCCGATTGCTTCTTCATCAATTTGTCCGGAAACCCTAGATTCCAAAGGGTTATTAAGATCAGAAGGAAGCTCGTGACGGCACACAGGGCACGAGTTCCTCACCGACAGCCATGGAAGAATGCAATCAGAATGATAGATATGCTTGCAGGGTAGTTCACGCGCCTCCACACCCAACTCAAACTCCTCTTTACAAACCGCACAGTGCATTTCACATCTAACCTGTTCCTCACAGATCTCAACGGTCGGCATAGACTCGATAGCCGCCTTAGACGCCGGCGGATTCTCCGGTCGTCCAAATCCATTCATCTCGATCTGCGAAAACTGCTCCAACAACCGATCAAATCCAGATCCAAGCAAAAACTCCGAAACTGTCGGCGGTAACGGACGAAGACCAGAACCATCGCCGTCATCATAAAACAGTTCAAACGCGCTACCTCCTTCCTGATCGGCACCATCTTCACCGGCTCCGCGAAGAACGATGACAGGATTGAAAGGGGACCGACTTCCAGCGTCGCGTCTTCGGCGGCGAAACCCTTGTCTCCGTGTAGAAACAGCGTCGTCGGGGAAAGGACTGAGTCGGTGATGCGGCGACTCGCCGGCTTGGATCTCTTCAACGAAACCGCTCTCGCAGTGTGGACAAACGATGATACTGTGATCTGAAAGGTTAACGAAGCGCGTGCAACTGTAACACCAGAACGACGCCGTTTCGGGTTGGGTATCAGAATTCATCACGTTCTTGTTTTTCTTCTTCTTCAATAATTCTTCTTCTTCGATTCTTCGATCTCGCAAAGAGAGAGAAAGTGTGTGAAGAAGAAATGAGAAAGGGTCAATTTAAGGGATTTGAAAAAGAGAGAGAGAGTGGAGCGTGTGTGAAACTGTGAAGAACGAAACGAGAAACGTTTGCGTGTTAAGCCACGCGTTTCGGTTTTGGAAAATAGGAAGAAACAAGGTAATTACACCCTACTTAGTATATTAATACTAATTTCTCACTAATTTTTATACTAATTAACTGTTTACTTGTTGGAATAGTAACAAAGAAACGAACTTGGTGACCTACGGCTGAAAATAATACTAACAACGATTGAATTAACGTATTTCTATTCCAAATGAAATCAAACTCGTTGAGTTTAACAAAGTTCTATTAGAAAATTAATTTGATAAACTATTTGTAATAACATATAAATAGCTATATGAATTTTTAAAAAAAATTGTGCTGTCATTGTTTTACTTTATTTTAATTAGAAATTTATGATATTTTTAAACTAACAAATTATTATTATTCTAAAAAAATACTTTATCTTAATTTAAAATTCTGTATCTTATTTTACATGTACACTGAATTTAATTTTAAAAAATTAAAAACTATTTTAAATGTTAACTAATAATCATTGATAATAAATCTATTTAAACTACTATACTTAAAATAAAAAATTGATTAAAATATGATAAAATGTAACAAAAGAATTACTATAAATAAAAATTATTAACCATAAAATTTTTATTAAATTAATTACATATATAACTTGATTTATTTATTTAAAATCTTATAAATGAGATAATAAATTGATTTAAACTCTAATAAATAATATCTAACAAAAAAATTATTTAGTCCTAATTACTTTAAAAACCCCACACAAAAAAAGAGACAGCATAAATTAAAAATAATAAAAATTCAACTTATACCTCCACATCAATAAAAAACGATTATATCAATTTTGGGTAATTGAGATTTAAGAGAGACCACAACAAGATAATTTTAAAATGTTAAAAATAAAATTTAAATTTTTTATAAAAAGTTTTAAGGTTCGTGTCATATAACATGGGCAATATACCTATTAATCTTAATTTTAAATTTCTTTTTGTCAAATCAAAAATTAATTTGTAAGCATTTTGCTTAATATGTATTTGATTGATTTCAAAATGTCACAATTTCTTTTTTGATAAAAAGAAAATAATTACTTATAATATTATTGGGTACATCTTGTGAAAAAAAATTTCACATTTCCACCCTAAATTTTAAGATCATAGATGAGTTGGTTATCTCGTTTATAAAGTATTCAATTTCTTTTTTTAATCAATGTGAGACTTCTACGTCACACTCATTCTTAACACTTCAATCTCGCACTTGTTTCTTTTCAACATTCCCCCTCAAGTGTAAGTTTGTCCACAATACTCTCTCTCAAACAGAAGTTCTTTCATTTACATACACGTGTACCACCGTTGACATTTTTTTTAATAAGATATGCCTCTTACCCACCACCGTGTGGGGGAATTTCGATACAAGAAAGTTGGTCATTCACTCGAACACTCGGATACCTCTGTTAGGTCATCAATTCACAGGGGATCAATATGAGAGAGCATTTTTACATTGAGTTTTTTTTATAAACAACACACCTTGTGAGAGAGAGACACCACATACTCACCTAAAACCTTAAGGTGATAGGTGTGTGGGTTCTCTAATTTATAATGTGCTCAATCTCTATTTTTTCTAATCAATGTAAGACTTTCACCTCACACTTATTTTTCTCAACAAGAATGAATATTATTATATATATTTGTGATTTTTTAGAACTCATGTGTAATAATATGGATAGATATTATTAGAATATTAATAGTAATTCATATTTATTTAGTTGTACTATTTTCTTAGCCCCTAAGTTTGTTAGAGGGTATTTTAGTATTTTATCTTATTCTAGTAACCATAGTTTTAGGTTATAAATAGGGTGACAATCATTGTAACATAATCATGTTTTTGTAGCCGTCATTCTTAATAGAATATTTCCTTTGTTCATCATTTATTCACCTTTGCACCAACAATTGGTATCTAGAGCTCCGGTTCGGATTCATTGGGAAACACGGGAAACACGAGTGAACGTGAGGTCTTGTGTGTTTGATTTTGATTCCTAGATTCGTGTTGAATCTTGAACAAAATCTGATCAGAATTTTATTCTGTGGGTTGGGAAACACTGTGTGAGAAATCTGAGTGTATTGTGCAAGGTGAAGATGAACGGAAACGGCAACATGAACACCAAGCTTCCAGTATTTGACGGTAAAAATTGGAATCGTTGGATGATCCAAATGCGTGTACTGTTTGGTGCTCAAGATGTTTTAGATCTTGTCACTGATGGTTATGTTCCGGTAGCAGCAGATGCAACGGATGAACAGAAAAACGCGCAGAAGGAAGTAAGGAAGAAGGATCAGAAAGCATTATTCTTTATTCATCAATGTCTTAATGTAAATGTGTTTGAGAAGATTGCAGATTCAACGACAGCAAAGGCTGCGTGGGACACACTGGTTAGATGTTATGGTGGTGACGCATCAGTGAAGAAGGTGAAGCTTCAGTCCTTGAGAAAGCAATATGAGAATCTCAACATGAAGAATAATGAGAAAGTTTCTGAATACATCTCCAGAGTGATTCTGATCACTAATGAGATGAAGGCGTGTGGAGAAACTCTTTCTGAAGAAACGATCATGGAGAAGGTATTGAGATCCCTTACCTCTCAATTTGATTACATTGTGGTAGCAATAGAACATTCCAAAGATCTGAGTACCATGAGAATTGAAGAGCTGCAGAGCAGTTTAGAAGCGCAAGAGTTGCGTTTGACTGAGAGAACTTCTGAAAGGGAAGCAGAGCAGCAGGCTCTGAAAGCAACTTCTGATAGGAGGTATCAGAAGCAGTCAGAAGTCAAGAGAAGATCTGATGGTGGTCAGAAGTCAGAAAGCTCAATCTCTGATAGGCAAAAGAATGCTCAGAAGGGAAAAGAGAAGTATGACAAGAAGAAGATCCAATGTTACTGTTGTAAGAAGTTTGGTCACTTTGCTAGAGATTGTTGGTCAAACAAGGAGAAGAAATCAGAAGAAGCAAATATAGCCAGAAGTTCTGATGACGAATCTGTGCTATTGATGGCCTCTGAATCTGATGATATGGATCTGACAGACTGGTGGTATATGGACACTGGCTGTTCAAATCATCTTACTGGAAACAAGAAATGGCTGGTTGACTTTGACTCTGAAAAGAGGACAAAGATCAGATGTGCTGATGACAAATATCTTAATGCAGAAGGTATGGGAAATGTCAGAGTGACTCTGAACAATGGGAAAACAGCATTGATTCAGAACGTGTGGTATGTACCTGGCATCAAAAGCAATCTGGTGAGTATGGGACAATTAATTGAGAAAGGCTTTTCAGTTACCATGAAGGACAATCTTCTGAAGCTGTATGACTACAATCAGAAGTTGATTATGGATTCAGAACAGAGAAGGAATAGAACATTCAAGGTGAATGTCAGAACTGCAGACTCAGAATGTCTTAGTGCAACATGTGCTGAGAAGGAGAGTGAGCTGTGGCACATAAGATTTGGTCATTTGAATTTCAGAAGCCTAAAACATCTGAATTCAAAGAAGCTAGTACGTGGAATTCCTGTAATTAAGAAGCCTGAGAAGTCATGCAAAGTTTGCATGGAAGGAAAACAACCACGTTTGCCATTTGCGTCAGAAGTTGCTCCAAGAGCAAAACATGCCTTGGGAGTTGTACATTCTGATGTGTGTGGTCCATTTCCAGTAGCATCAATTAGAGGGAATAAATACTTTGTGTTATTTGTTGATGAATTCACAAGAATGACATGGGCATCCCTTATTAAGTTCAAACACGAGGTGTTTCATGAATTCAAGAAATTCATAATGAAGGCTGAGAATCAGAGTGGTCAGAAGTTGAAGATTCTTAGAACTGACGGTGGAGGTGTATAACTCCAAAGAGTTCCAGAAGTTCTGTAAGGAGAATGGAATTGAGCATGAGGTTACTGCTCCTTATACCCCTCAACACAATGGTCTTGCTGAAAGAAGAAACCGCACTTTGCTTGATATGGTGAGAAGCATGCTAAAAGAGAAGAAGCTTCCTCAGAAGCTCTGGGGAGAAGCTGTTGCCACTGCAACGTATGTACTCAACAGATGTCCTACGAAGAAGTTGAAGGAAATAGTTCCTATGCAGAAGTGGACTGGAGACAAGCAAAGTGTTAGTCATTTAAAGGTGTTTGGTTCTGTTTGCTATAAACATGTTCCAGAAGCCAGAAGACAGAAGCTGGATGATAGAAGCAAAGTGATGATTCTAATAGGGTACCACAGTACAGGTGCATACAAGCTCTATTGTCCAGAAACCAATAAAATTGAATTCAGCAGAGATGTGATTGTGAAGGAATCAGAAGTTTGGAATTGGGATAAGTCTCAATCTGATTCTGATGTTAGAACTTCTAAAGAAAGGTCAGAGTTAAGAATTTCTGAAGTTGAAGTAAACTTTGACGTTGATTCTGACTCTGATAGTGATTCTGACTCTGGAGAAGACTCAGAAGATGAAGGTGACTCTGATGATCCAGACTCTGATGGTAATCCAGATTCTGGTGGAAATTCAGACTCTGAAGATGGCCAAGACTCTGAAAATATGCCAGATCTTGAAGATGGTCAAAGCTCTAGAGGAAGTCAACCATCTGAAGCTAGAAATTCTGAAGCTCAAGACTCTGAACAAGTTCAGAGACCACAAAGAATCAGAAGCGTTCCCAGAAGATTTGCAGAATTTGACATGCTGCAAGACACTGAAGTAGACTCTGAAGGAGAAGTTATTCAGTGTGCCATGTTAGTAGACTCTGAACCTATAAGTACAGAGGAGGCTCTTAAGCAGAAGCTCTGGCTGAAGGCCATGAAAGAAGAACTTGATGCTATAGAGAGAAACAAGACTT